AATCCCACGATATGCTTGGTCTTTGTCATGGTTGTTTATGAAACAATGCCACGATCGGCTTGGTCTTTATCATGGTTGTTTATGAAACAATCCCACGATCTGCTTGGTCTTTGTCATGGTTGTTTATGAAACCCAAGCAGATCGTGGGATTTTCTTTGTCATGGTTGTTTATGAAACAATGCTATATCTATGATAGACTCATTAAAAGCTGAGGATGAAAAGTTTGAATGAAATGGCAGTCCAATAAAACTGAATTGCTTCGTGTATTATACAAGGTTGAGAACGTTAAATTAAAACGATTTTAAGTATGCAAAACAGCAAGTTACTCGACAACCACAGCCGATATAAAGTCGTGGTTGAACGGAATGTATCAGAACTACATTTTGACAATGTTTGGCTTTCGTAGGAATGTGATGCCACCGAAAATTGATAACTTTTGGGAAGGATTTTCAACAACCCTTTCTGATACAAAACACTTAGATCATAAAGATGTGTTCTGTTCGGAGACTTAAGATTGTCAAGATTTTACTTAATGTCATTGCAAAATAAATTTAAAAATGTTGATCAACTTGGAGAAACAAACGTGATTAAGTCGTACTCCCGTCGTCCTAAACAAAGTGCAGTATGTGAGAATCCACGAACATGAAGGTCAGTGGCAAAAACTGTCTATGGGCTTCAGGCAACATAATCAAGAAGGACGTCTGTCTGAAAACGAGTTCAATAGGGTATTAGTTCATAAAAATAAGGCTTTCAATGTTATCTCCCATTAAGCCATCGCATACCTCAAATATCTGGAGAATTAAATGGGCATTCAAGCTATTCCGTTCCATGGCATAGTAGTCAAGTCACCAGATGCAGCACCCATGGATTTTTGTGTGAAGGACTGTCGAAGTGAGGGCTGGAAAACACCTTCCTCGTATACTAAATAGATTATAGAAAGAATAAGGAGGAGTGGTATGCTTTGAACAAAACAACCTAGCGACGAAGCTATCTTGCAGGGCTATTCTCAAGTTGCAAGATCCTGAGATAGAGCATGATTAGAAGTGGCGACATGGTCTGTAACGATGTGGTGAGGCTCCAAAATATTTTTATTATACAATCATCAATACTTGAAGTGGGGAGTCATAGCTATTTCTCATAAATATTCTTAAAACGTCCGACATCTTTTTGAAGAGAAGCCCCTTTTTCATTAAGAATCCTAGGCTACTTTTTGTATGTAGATCCGGACTTATATTAAATGTTACTTTAAGGACTGCTTACGTCTGCCTAGTGCAATGTAGTTGACCCATTGTCTATTAAGTTGTTATAAAAATAAAAAAAACATTTATAAAACATTGATTAGCAGGTGGAGTGGTTTAAATATATCAATTAACAGAAGTTAGGTAAATTTTTGGCCATCAGATAACATTCATCCACCCGATTAGTTGTCTACACGACCTCCTAAATCTAATTATTAATTAGTTACAATTTTTAATGGAGAAAAATCACTAACTGGTTTTCATCATACGTTTTATATGGTGATCTGTTGCCGTTTTCAGGGATGTCTTGAAAAGGACTTCCTCTGATGGTGGTTATTCAATCCTTGTTGGGTTTTTTTTATATAAAAGCTGCCATGCTAACCTCTTGGGGTTTTCCCCCATTAGGACTTCAATGAACAAACTTATCTGAATGCCTTCAAGAGGAGAATCCAGGTTTTACTACCTTTTGTGGTGGATTTAGTAGCCATATTAGGAGTGTATCATCAATATATAGCAAACAAGTTTCATGAACTTCCTGAACAGACAAAACATCCTACTATATAATTCACCATGGAAGTAGAAAACCAACTCTCAGGAAATCCATAAATAGTGCTGGACTATAAACCAAATAACCCCAGTACTGAAAGACGGGCATCGTATACTATCTAGTTTCCAGAATATTTGTTAAGTAACTGTAAACTTCCTTGATAGTGGATATCAGGAAAGCTGATAAAAAAGAAAATGGACACCAAGAATACGTAGGAAATAATTAGAAAAACAGAGCCATATTCCTCTGTGCCAAATATATCTCTGAAAATATACAGAGGATATTTAATGGACATCATAAAACAATAAGAAACATCAAACCACTTGAAGATCCAGTGAAGACCAAAAACACCATTTTAAACATCCATATGAATGTGGACTCCAATACAATGGAGAAACAAAACCACCAACAAACATTTAACGCTTTGTAAGACCGATCTATCTGCAATAGTCCATTAGTCCATCATACCAAAGAAGAAGACCATACGATAAATTGCAATAACACTAAAATAATGGAACATGAATCACACAAGAGAAAGATAAAGATAAGAGAAACCTTCTACAATTCGCTTAACTGATAACACATAGCATAAAAAGTCAACACAATATGGATACCCCCTCACTAAAGCATCCAAATAAACAATTTTAATCATAATGGGAAAGACCACCCCCACCCCCAAATAAGTGTATAACATACCAGACTTTCTCTCATAAGATCTAGGATCGAATCTTGACGACTACCACCATACAAATAACCCATCTTAGGAATTGTCGTAATATAGTATAGAAAATAGTAATTAAAATTTATAAAAATGAATAACTCATTTAAAAGAAGTAGACTTAGATGATCGTATAGGCTACTAATCATGGCAATGGTCAGCTAAAAGCTAAGTAGACTTAGATGATCGTATAGGCTACTAATCATGGCAATGGTCAGCTAAAAGCTAAGTAGACTTAGATGATCGTATAGGCTACTAATCATGGCAATGGTCAGCTAAAAGCGTTTCTCATTTTCAATTGATATATTGTCCAATTATGTAATGATTACTTTTAGAAACCGATGTGAACAACGTTTTCTTTTTGATGTTTTTTTATAAGTTGTTATATCTTCTAGTTTATTCACAGCCGATCAGACGAAAAACAAAATGAAAAGAATCCATGAATATATTTATGAAAAAGAACTACCTAAGAGTGATAAAGGAAACATCACAGTAAATATTAATGTTTATATTGGACAAAACAGCGATATTACTGAAACAAACAAAGAAGATGAAGCAAATGGCAATTCTGCCAAGGACGAAGAAAGAGACAAAGAAAATGCTCAAGGAGTAAATAAAGTACAGAAACCAGATGATGAGCTTGGGAAGGAATATGCAGGTGATGTAATAGAGGGACAAAAGCCAGATGATGACTTTAGAAAAGAACATGAAGATGATGTAATAGAGGGACAAAAGCCAGATGATGAGTTTAGAAAAGAACATGAAGGTGATATAAAAAAGAAACAAAAGCCAAGTAATGGATTTGGGGGAAAATATTCATTTGATGTAATAGAGGAACAAAAGCCAGATAATGACTTTGGTAAAGACTATGCAGATGATGTAGCAGAGGGACAAAAGCCAGATGATGACTTTGGTAAAGATTATTCAGAGGATGTAACAGAGGAACAAAAGCCAAGTAACGGATTTGGTAAAGAAAAGCCAGATGATGGCTTTAGAATAGAATATAAAGGTGATATAAAAAAGAAACAAAAGCCAGATGATGACTTTGGTAAAGACTATGCAGATGATGTAACAGGGGAACAAAAGCCAGATGATTACTTCGGTAAAGGCTATGCAGATGATGTAATAGAGGGACAAAAGCCAAATGATGACTTTGGTAAAGACTATGCAGATGATGTAATAGGGGGACAAAAGCCAGATGATGACTTTAGAAAAGAATATGAAGGTGATATAAAAAAGAAACAAAAGCCAAGTTATGGATTTGGGGAAAAATATTCACTTGATGTAATAGAGAAGGAACAAAAGCCAATTAATGGATTTGGTAAAGAATATGATGATGATATAAAAAAGAAACAAAAGCCAAGTAATGGATTTGGTAAAGAAAAGCCAGATTATGACTTTAGAAAAGAATATGAAGGTGATATAAAAAAGAAACAAAAGCCAGATTATGACTTTAGAAAAAAATATGAAGGTGATATAAAAAAGAAACAAAAGCCAGATGATGACTTTGGTAAAGACTATGCAGATGATGTAACAGAGGAACAAAAGCCAGATGATGTTTATGGAGAAAACAAACTTAAGAAGAAGTCAGATAATGTTTTTCAGAAAGGCAGTCGAGATAATGTTAAGGGACATAAATTTAGTGATAACTCTGAGGGGGACAGTCGAAATGATATCATCGAGAAAAATAATTCAAGTGATGACCAGAAAAGTTCGATTGATGTTTTTAAGGAACGGAAGCCAGGTGATCAGTTTGAGGAAGACACCTCTGATGGTGCTATTGAAGAACATAAGTCAAGTGATTACTTTGAGAAACATAATTCAGAAGGTGTTATTGAGGAACATAATTCAGACGGTGTTATTGAGGAACATAATTCAGACGGTGTTATTGAGGAACATAATTCAAATGATGACTTTGAGGAAGACACTCCTGATGATGTTATTGATGAACATAATTCAAATGATGGCTTTGAGGAAGACACTCCTGATGATGTTATTGAGGAACATAATTCAAATGATAATTTTGAGGAAGACACTCCTGATGATGTTATTGAGGAACATAATTCAAATGATGGCTTTGAGGAAGACATTCCTGATGGTGTCGTTGAGGAAGAGAAGTCAAGCAATGATTTTAAGAAACATAAACCAGATGGTGTCATTAAGAGACATAAGTCAGTAAATAATTTCGAGGAAGAAAATCCAAATGATGGAATTAGGGAACGGAAAGTGGATGATGACGAAAACAGGTCAGATAATGTCATTCAGGAACAGAAGTTAAGTGATAACTTTAAAGATGATAATAAAGTCGATGTCTTGAAAGAAGAAAAGCCAAGTAGTGCATCTAGAAAAGAAAAACTTAATTATGATTTAAAAGTAAAGACCTCGGGTAGCATTCTTAGAAAATTATAAAAACAAATCTAAAATAAATGACGTAAAAATAAATTTGATAAAATTTTGTCCGATGAAGTTGTTGATGTAACAGAAATCATTCAATATTATTAACTTTCAGAAAATTTGTCAAATCAGTTATATTTGTTATAAGACAACAGTATTAAGCGTGATTGTATTTTTAACACTATTTTTAGTAGACCCCATTAAGTTTTCCCGAGAAGAGGAGTGTATAATAGTATTTGAACAAACCACGTCTGCCATATCCATGTCATCGACTATGGATATGATGGACATAGTGTGGTCGGAATACTAATACTATTATGAACGTCTTTTCTCGGAAAACCGTAAGTGGCTGAATACAGAATGTAGTGTTAAAAATACAATAAGCCCAAAACTATTGTCTTTTGATAAATATGACCGATTATAATCACCCTTCGATATCAAAGGTGTCCAAACAGTAATAGTTGTGAAAATAGGCTTCAAATTTATCATTAATTCGATATTATTATACATTAAAATTAATTTTTTTATTAATCTGTTCGTACGTTTTGTGGACTTTATTCAAGTATTAGAATCATCTTTCACTAGATCTATATTTTAAAACCTTAAATTCGTGTTTTATCAATCTCTAACTTGAAGAAAGGTAATTAAACTGAATGACTGTATCGATTTGGTGATACCGGAAACTTACGTTTTTTTTTTTTTCAGAATTGGTTAATATTAATTTTCAGACTCTACTAAACTACAAATTGAATAGGAGCTGTTTTTTTTTACAGCTATGCTGAACGAAATCTAATTAACGTTGATTTTATAGCATCGTTGTATGTACTTGATAAATATAAGAAGTCAAATGACCTTTTGACACTGAAGAATCAAATATCATCTTTGATAAAACAAATAGATAATATCTGAAAAAATAAAACTACAATATTTTAAACAAGAATCCTGACAGACGCTTTTAAATAAAATTCGGCTTAATAGGTTTTATTTGGCTATAGACCAGTCTCTAGAATTAGTGCTAGTTAAATAAAAATATACTAAAATAAATTCACTTGGCTAGAGAACAGGCTGTAGAATAAACGGTACTTAAAGCGATGCTTAATGAATTTTATTGGGCTAAAAACAGGTTTTGAATTAACTGGAATTAATATAAAACTATGTTACAGAATCTGATTTGAACAAACTGTAAAATTAATAGTTCTTAAAATAAAGCGATGGCAAGTGGACCTTATTTGAAAATAAAACATTCTTTAGAATCAACAATCCTTAAAATATAATGATGACAAGTGGACCTTATTTGAAAATAAAGCATTCTGTACAATCAACAACCCTTAAAATATAATGATGACAAGTGAACCTTATTTGAAAATAAAACATTCTTTAGAATCAACAATCCTTAAAATATAATGATGACAAGTGGACCTTATTTGAAAATAAAACATTCTGTAGAATCAACAACCCTTAAAATATAATGATGACAAGTGAACCTTATTTGAAAATAAAACATTCTGTAGAATCAACAACCCATTAAAATATAATGATGACAAGTGAACCTTATTTGAAAATAAAACATTCTGTAGAATCATAAACCCATAAAATATAATGATGACAAGTGGACCTTATTTGAAAATAAAACATTCTGTAGAATCAACAACCCTTAAAATATAATGATGACAAGTGAACCTTATTTGAAAATAAAACATTCTGTAGAATTAACAACCCTTAAAATATAAT